AAGGGGTGTCCTCCCATTTGTTAGACAGCCAGTGTTAGACAGCTTAACGCAACAAACTTTTCAGCTGAATGCACATCTAAGTAATAACCTGTTACCTTAGATAGATAATGGAATAATCAATGCTGAATGATAAAATAATCATTTTAATTATTCATTGATGATGTCAATGAGACAATTATAATCTGTGTAAACTTGATACGTAAATCATCACTCAGAAGTTTTTTTAATTATTTCAATAAAGTCATAATTAGCACATGAGTATTTTAAAGTTCATCATCACAGGAATAACAGCAACCCTTGATGATGGCATCAGGAATTTCTGTCTCAGTTCGCAGCTACCTCGAAGTTACTCTGCATTCCTGTTGGGGCAGGGGACGGTTCAAGTTCTCGAAAGCATTTGCCTTCAGGAGATGAAATAGTGTTGTGCACTTTGTGGCTTGTCGATCAGGCAACAGAACATGAACAAGGGGATAGGATACAGAACCAGCTAGGGCACAGATAATGTAGACTTGATTTCCATATCTCTAGGCAAATTGTCCATCAATGTAGAGATTCTCAGCAGCTTGCACGGCTTGTAACTGTTCGAGGGTGGAGAAGGTGAGCACTTTGTCTTCGTCACCATCTGAAAGAAGAAGAAAAGGGCGGCCATCTGCTGTCTCTGTCCATCTTCCTTCCAGTCGTACTTCAGAACGTGAGTGGGGCGGTGCAGGTCGTGTCTTACGGCGATGTTTGTATAGGGAACGACTAATACTTGAGAAGGACGGAAACACAGGAATCTGGTCTTCGTATTCTTCCTCTAGCTGCTCCTTATAAATGGTATGCATGTGTGCGGTCTCGCCTCTTGCCCGTGTCTACTGAAGGGTGGTTGTGTTCGGTCTGGTTCTTGAACCAGGAAAATGCATTTCCCAGAATAAATTGAAATGGATGTAAAGCTCAAACGTAGTAGACAATTTGAGTTACGTAGATAGGTTACATGAGTTGTATTGTATTTTAGAACTGAGTTAGAAACTCAGCTATTTCAGATTGTCAAACCCAGTTTGAAATTTGAGTTAAAACTTAAGTTTATTTTTTCGAGAAATCGGGGGCCAGAAGAGGTACATCTGCCAGTGCAGATCTTGACAACACATCTCCAGTGAGTGCTTGTCTGTCTAACTCTGTTTCTGCTGCATAGATAGCCATCCAGAAGAATGTGTTGAGTTCCCCTCTGCGATATGACATATTCGACTTTCCATAACCCAGTCATGCTGATTTGTCATTAAGGTGTATGTGAAAATATTTTATACCTACCTTCTAGTTGTGACAATGTACACTTTTTAATACTTGCAAGCCAAATCACGAAATATACCACCACTTACCTTTCTCGCCGTTGAGATCCCTATTACACCCACATATCAACTGCAGCTCGTGACTATTGAGTTATCTCTGTTTGTAGCGTTAGGTCATCTCCGTGTCAATTTCCCGAGAAACCACTGTGTAAGACCGAACTATCTCATAAAGACAAACCTTGTTAATATGTTGACTACAGGCCAATAGTTATTCCCTGCTGACCTGACTTAAAATAGCATGCTTTCCTTTTTTCAACTCGTTTACAAGCGGTGGGCCACAAAATAACTATTGAACGTTTCAACCGTTGCTTCCTGCGCCCCCGGTTAAAGATTACACACAATCAAACAATCCACCATGACATATTCGCCTTTTAAGGTAAATGTGTTTTGGGGAATATATCCCAGAATTTCCATGGTGTCATAACAAAAGTATGATAGGAAAGAGAACGTAACTGACGAATTCCACGCCACGTTTCATCTGGAGTGTGTTAGTGGCAACAAACAACAGTCTTCTTTAACATTGTCACAATGAGTCAACTGAGCACGAGTGAATGTCAGGGGTGATGTAATCATTCTCTGTAACGTTGCATGACAACATAAGTTAATGCTTATGTATTATTTCTGTTGTTACACTACTCTATTGTTGCGGATATATGACTGAACAGGAGTCTCACTGAAAAGCCTTATATTATGTAAACTTCACATTCAAACGGCCCATATGAAATTTGGCGAAATGTGGCAAAATATATTTCTCCTAACATTCTAGTGACTGAGTTGATATTTAACGTCAGATCGACAATATTTCAGCCATATCGTGACGAGAACAATTTATTTTTTAATGCTAAAACTTAAAAACCTGATATCAAAGCACAGTGAAACTACTGTATCACAGCTCTTAAGTTGATGATATTGAAATTAGGATAAATTAAAGTCCTCTCCAGCTGGTTCGAGAGTACATGAACACAATCAACACATATAAGATGTATACACATTTATAACATCTAGATAAGGTACAGATAAGTTAACAGCGTTATATGTTGAAAAGAAAACACTCTAAAAACAAGATTTACTTAAATATTTAAAACACTAATTTGATGCGATGTGTACATGTTTACCACTTAGTTTAATTCTCTAAGACAGTGACATCGACGATCCCTAAAGTTACCTGCAGCAGTAGGTAAGTGGTAAGTATAAATATGTTTACGAAGACAGACATAGACATATAGTTGCTGTCGAATATGATGTTCTTATATTTCAAAAATTCTATAAACCTACACGGTCTATGATGTCATCATAATAATAAACAAAACATGCAAAAACAAAAAACAAGGTTATTTGGACAGTGCGTTGTCAATATCAGCCAGTAAAATACAATGACTAACGCTTGCATTAGCCGATATTAATTTAGGGAAAACCAAGTTCAAAACCATTGACGGCGTAAATACCAACACCGTTACCAAGCACTTGCTTCATAACGGTGTTAGTACCTACACCAAAACGTCATATTTATTGCACTGAAGAAGTTGGCTGTCCATAGAACTTTCCTACATCTTTACAACGTCTAAATGCCTCTCAAAGAAGATAATAATTTGTCTTTGAATAAAAATGTTGTGTTTTTCTTTATCACGACGACCTGATCTTAACAGAGATTTGCATAGACTAACCAGTGGTTGATGTTGTGATTGATATACTAACACTCTATATCAATCAAACAAGTCACTGAGTCTGACCATTCGTTCACGGCGCTTCCTACAGTGAGGATGGCAGCGCTTGAATACATACAATGGTCATACAGTGTGGCTTGTAATTTGTTTAGAAGCTGCTGTAGGAGCCCATGTATTATCAAAATACGGCGTCGTAAGAATAAGAGTTATGGTTCTCTTTCACGCAGTTGACCATTCGTGACCCGCTCTTGTTATCCAAGCCGTGGGTGTATCCAGGGGTATAGTGGAGAGTGATCGTAACATATACCCTGGAGATTATCGAGGATGATCCCGCACAAGTCGAACAACGACTCGTGCCGCTCTTAAGGAATTTCATATTGGCGTATGAATATCAGAACAACTTCTAACAAGAACAACTCTATTACTGTTAAATATTCCAGCAGTAATAAACATCATTTAAGCACTCGAAATCTGTTATTTATAAAATACTTTAGCCCCGTTTAAAATAATAATAATAATTATGATGATTTGTTGAAAACATATTCCAACACAAGTATAACCGGCTGTTCACCTTATATGCGAAAATCTGACTCTGCCACCAGAAACGACACATTAAAATATCTCCAGTAAAGTAATCAAAGTGTTTTAGATTAACATTGAATATATTGTGAGTGTCAGAACTAAAAGTGCCAGAACGTCCACGTAAAATCTCAAGAGCAAGCCCACCGCAGCGTCAGAGAAAACAATCAGTTGGAAACATGAGAACCGTGTGTATTGGAATCTCTAACCGTTCATGGTCATAATTAAAATCATAATTAAAACGTCAAGTAAGAAAGGAAGAAAATTCTTTGGACGTCTACTTCTTTATTATGAGGAACACAACGTACATACACGAACCGTCATTCACCTGAAAAAGGAGTAAGTAAATACTTCGAATCGTTGTCTTCTTCATAATAAAGATTTTGACATCAATAAAATTCTCTTCCTTATGTTTATCATTTCTAAATGTCATTCAAAGTCATTTTAATCAAAATATAGTTACAGAACTCAGTAGTATTGATATCAAAGTACCTCAATCCTTTTGCGCATTCTGACTCATTTGTCGTATTATGTAATAACATAACATAACATAACATTCATTGGTATAACATAACATTCATTGGTAAGTAAATGAGTCTTCTTGGTGGTTATGGAAATGGGAAAGTGGTATCGAATGGCAGTTCATACACCAAAATAGACGGGTGTATGTCTTCATTGACTTCTCCCAGAATTGTAACTAGTTGATTACGAATGTAGTAAAACGTGTAGCCCTTTACGTCTTTGTTGGCAAGTATGGCGCTTTCGTCACACTGATGAACAGTTCTGCCATTCAGTTTTGTACCCGTCTTTGTCTTTGTCTTTCTTCTTTTTTCTCCTTTTCTCGCTTGCTGTGCCACCATAACAATCCTACCCCTGCCGCTGCCCCCCCAGTCATTCCCATAACTAGTGCAAGGGCAGTTGTCAGTGTGTCAACCTGAAAGAAGATGTTAGGAAACATGTGGTTTGTGTGTGTGTTTTCTTTTCAAGAATCTTGGAAAGTAGGAAAATAATTAAAACATGGGTTTTGTGAAATGAAACATCCAATGTTGATCTACATGTAGGCCGATCTGAAAAAAATCTATTACGAGGCCAGGCGTATTGTTTGGCTCCTCTAATGAAGAACTCGTGTTATAAGTTAATTACGCGCAGACGTCGTTTCCAGGAGAACTGATATAGTGTTTGCAAATAACATTTTTCACACCTGTTTCAGTTGTTTCGCAAATAGTGTAACTGATCATTCTCAGACGTTGACTATTATGATACAACATACCCGTTTGCTACAATTCCTTATCGACATGGCTACCAGCAAACGAGACTACCAATGTGACAAGATGATAATTTTAGTTTATTGTAATCTAAACACAACTAAATCGTTGTTCCGCTTAACAAATTTACTGCACCTAATCATGTTCATGGAAGCAAATCAACCTGACAAAGGAACAGTTGACTAAATACAAACCTGGCCACTAACTTCTATGCCATACCGGCAATCTGTAGCAAAGTGTTCACAGTTCTTTGAGAGTAAGTTATAGCCGACGTCTCCAACTTGAGATACTGCTCTTACTACTATCTCAGCTGAATCAAAATGTCTGTTAAAACAAAACAACAATATGGTGATTGAAAAAACATAATTATTTAGGGTGAATGGACAAGATGAAAAAGGCAACAGTGTCTTGATATACACCATTGTTTTGGATTTCAAAATGGAACATCTATACATGGTACACAAAATGAAAAAAAACGTGATATGTTGAAAGGAAAGCACGTTTAAAACAAGATTTACTGAAATATTTAAAACACTGATTTGACGCGATTTGTACATTTTACCACTTAGTTTTACGCTCTAAGAGAGTGACATCGATGATTCCTAAACATGAGTGAGTCAGTGAGTTTGGTTTTACGCCGCTTTTAGCAATATTCCAGCAATATCAGGGCGGGATGATTCCTAAAGCTAACTGCAGCTGTATGTAAGTGGTAAGTATAAATATTTCTTGCGAAGACAGACAGACAAACAGTTGCTGTCAAATATGATGTTCCTATATTACAAACAATCTATAAACCTGCACAATCTATGATGTCATCATAATAAAACATGCTAAGCTCAAAGGTCAGCTTCTCTGACAATTTTAGGCCAAATGTGTCAATGTCACATTTGAGAGAACTAAAGGGCATGGTCAAATCAAATGCATAAAATAAATAGTGAATCTTCCAAATAAACAAACGCAATATTCCTTCCACCATGAATGGACAAGATGAAAAAGGCAACAGTGACTTGATATACATCACTGTGTAGTATTTCAAATGAAACATTTTTAGGCTCCGTTGTTGTCAGTAACATTTACTTCCAACAGTATCAGTTACTGGTTTGTCTGATCCAGATTCAGTTACATCTTGCAGCTAGAAAGGAATACATGCTACGTTTAACAACAAACAAACCTTACATAAATATCTTGTCCAGTGCGTTGTTCTTGTACGCCTTGCTGTCTCCAACAACGTCCCAAAAGTTTTGTTTGCGAATTTTTCCTTTATCGTACACTTTTTCAGTTACTGATAATGCGTGTTGCGGTCCGCTCCTCATTGGACCATCGACTCGAGTCCGATGCACGATATAATTATTTTCTGGATAAGATATGACAAAAAAGTACCACTAGATACATATATACATATAATACATAACCGAATGGTCAATAATCTGTCTCTTAGGCAAACTCGTGATGTGAAACGGTACTGGGCCCCGTTACAAAAATACCGTAGCGCTAAGGTGATCGTACCTCCCATACTTTAACATAGACTTACGACATTCGTAGCGCTACGATCGTTTTCTGAAACGGGGCCATGTACTGATATTTATGGGTAAGGGTATAATCTACATGTATGAGTGAGTGAGTGAGTTGAGTTTTACGCCGCACTCAGCAATATTCCAGCTATATGGCGGCGGTCTGTAAATAATCGAGTCTGGACCAGACAATCCAGTGATCAACAGCATGAGCATCGATCTGCGCAATTTGGAACCGATGACATGTGTCAACCAAGTCAGCGAAACTGACCACCCGATCCCGTTAGTCGCCTCTTACGACAAGATAGTCGCCTTTTTATGGCAAGCACATGGGTTGCTGAAGACCAATTCTACCCCGGATCTTCACGGGTCTCTACATGTATGAAGATAACCTTCAAGTTGTAAGTGTTTCGTGTTTATTTCTCCATTCAGAGATTGATAATATCCACCTTGATACAAATGGTTTAACGTCGTGCTTGAGAATATTTCGCTCATATGACGACGTGCAGGCGTGTGTATGTGTATGTGCGGCTGCTTGTAATAGCCCCGACTGAAGCTGGTTTCGGAGTGCTAGCCCACTGAGATACCATGCCGCAGTGAAGCATGAATACCCCACTCAGACAAATTATACTGACTCCGAGCCAACCAGTCCTTGTTGTACCCATTAATGCCGAGCGCCAGACAGGGACCAACAAGTACCATATTTTAACGTCTTTTGGTATGAATATATGGTTCTGAGACTCACACATCGTGGACTTGTGGTTTGTGTGTTTCATTGTCGTGTAATGCCGCACTTAGCAGCTATTTTCCAGTTATATGACAGCTGTTTATTAACAATCGAGTCTGGACCACAATCCACTGGTTGACACCATGAGAATCAATCTATGCCGTTTCGATACGATGATATGTACGGAAAGAGCAAGCTTGACCACCCGATCCCGTAAGTCGTCACTTACCAGCATAGGTGGCTGAAGGTCAATCATTTATGCTAACCAGGAATATCTTCACGATAACGTCACATGGGTATTTGATACAGCATACGATTCATTTACGGAATACTGGATTCAGTACTACATTGTCAATCTCAATCAAGATGATACTTTATTACGTCAAGAATGGGTTACAGTTGACGTATATACTTACCTCGAATGCCAACAATTGAATTGATCGATGCTCGTGATTTCAATCATTAGATTGCCTTGGCCATCCGTGATTTTTTTACAGATTTCTGTCAGGTACTTCGAATATTGCTTGTACGACACTACACAACAAAAAGGGAAAAAAAATGACGCAAGACTTTCTTAAAAGTATTTGTTAAGAACTCTTACTAATGGCCACACCCCAGTGACTGTACAGTCCTCGCTTAAACTCCACCAGGTCACCTGGTTTCAATCTGTCAAGTACTGTCTGATTGTGTCGCTGTACTTCAAGGGACGACATTTGTCTTTATTCTTTAACTGTACTGTAGCTGCACTGTGTCTCTGGAGTGCCTCCACTTGTATGTTTTCTGAAACGTCAAAGAGAAAATGTAGAATGCAAACTAAAACTAAATAATCATTTAAGAGACCCACAATCAACCACCAGATGAAACAGTCCCTTAAGATCAATGAACCAATAACTGGAATAGTAGGACAAAGTCAAACGACCCAAAAACATAGATACATTCCTTTTTTCCAAATACTGATGATTAAATGAAGGGTAAATAAAACTACGTTTCATTATGTGTTAATTCCTTGTCAACATCGCATTTGGCTCATATTAGTGTATAACATGTTTCTTGGAGAAAAATTCGAACCTTGGAATATAGTTATATAGACACATAAAATGGTCGTAAATAATATCTACAAAATCATAGCCATGTACCGCATCGAATTTGCTTACGGACTGATGTAGGTATTACGTTGCTCAGGTTCACTCAACAGTGATAATTCTATCGACAATAACGCTCACTACGTCAACGTCAATAAATATAAAAGGATGTCGTGAAATTGTTCATACATGAGTCGAGATCATTTATCTCTTTAATATAAATGCACCAAATACATAAAAGCGTAATTTTGTCGTAGGTAAAACCTGTAAATAAGAAAAGGTCGAGTTTTTTTGAGTTTTTTTAAACTGTGTCTTAAAACTAGTAACAATCCGCGGAGCAGTACGTTTGTAGTTTATGACTAATAATATTTTATGACTAATAACTTAACAATATTAAATGATGGTGAAAACTATGGCGTAAATTTGTTGTCGTATTAACACTAAAGTGAAATATGTTTGCAACGAAATGGCATATAATCTATATCCATTGATTGATCTACTGAAATGAAGGGCAGTGATTTAGTCTTGAGACTATAGCATTTGCTCCTCCCACAGAAAATGGGTGCAATTTCTCTTATAGGTAGAATATGTGCAATTCTGGAGTTATAATATTGTTGGAATTGGTGCTTAAAGCTCACTCATTCTCTTACGATGTAACATTATTGCTCAATGTCACTACAAAACTGATTTTATAAGTCAACCATAAATCACCCGTAACTTCCATCCCATTCTAAACATTTATGAGTATGAATAGTTGAAAATATTAGCTGAAAGGTTCACCTGATTTATTTCTATACGACATAAACCACAGCCGCGTAATTATAGATCACACTGAATTATTGTTGAGCATTCCATCTTCCAATAAACAACACTCAACAATACATTGGGATTACACACTGGCGAAGCATATGTCTGTATTTCAAGGAGAGCTTCATGGAGAAAGTAAAAACATTTCGTGTACCTCAAAAGATGACCTAAAACAACAGTTACACAATAGTATGTGTTTGCGTATCGGTATATTGGGACAGGGCAGCGGTGTGACGAGACTGGGAATCTCCGTGGTATTGCGCAACTATGTCTATTTATAGCGCCAGCTCACCTTGTCATGAGTTACACGAGGATTATGTGGCAACGATTATACTCATCACGTGAAGATACAGTATTGATCCAATGACGTAAAAGTGTACACATATGAAAGGTTGATGTAGACTACACAAGAGTTTAAGGAACACTGAAGAGAGTCTACTTGTCTGCTAAAGTCTATGATATAACTGTTGATTGAAACATTATGACCGTGACTCCCATACTCATGCTGTGTAAAACGTTATTACAAAACCACTTAACATATTGTATTGGGATGTTGGAAGTATCTTCAAGTCGATTTCGAAACTGATGTAGATATATTCTTATTAATGACACATATCCAGATGAAATATCGATGCGTTTAATTAGCAGTTCAATAACATGCAATATGTGTTAATAAGATGAAATTTGCGTTAAAGTCAATTGTGCAGTCTGCATATAATATGTTGCAATTTAAATATCAGTTAGATTAATGATTAGTACAATTAAATATCATAAGGTGAAACGTGGATTGTAGATATTGCATATAGTATATGTTACACAAGAAAGTGAAAAGTTTAAATCAATCATGATTTCTTTCTCCAAATGTGAACTGTTACAGTGGTGTATGTCAATGAGACGCTATTATTCCTTTGATAAAAGTTGTGAACATTGGTAAGAGGGAAAATCCAAAGGGTCGACGAGTGTGAGTAAGTTGTTATTTAACGTCACATCGGCAATAGTTCAGCCATATAGTGACGAGAACATCTGACATTGAAAAAAACATGCCGACGAAGGACAGTGAAACAACTAGAATATCACAGATACACATGTAAAACTAGTAACTGAATCTAAAACAGTTTAACTATAGGGGACAACACAATATAAAAATAGGCTATAGATCACCAACAACTGAATATAGATCACCATACTGGGGACTTACAGTACCTTTGCTACCTGCATGGACCCTAGCTGGATTTACATCATCCCTTCAGCTGCTGGTGATTGTCAGAAATGTTAGCCAATGTTAAAATTACAAGAATACTACGTTTAAAAATCCTGGTAAGTTTAAATTGACTTTGAATATATTGGGACTTACGTACCCTCTCAGGAGGACAATAATTTTACAGAACTTTACCCCCCTTTGAGGGTACAGCCACTAACCAGCTCAGCTACTAATCTAAACTACCAATAATAAAATATGTATCTATTTACAAATCAGTTAACAAATCTAATTCTTAAGGGTCGACGAAGAAATTTCGTTACGTAGGGGTCTTATTGCAATTGTGGTTTTCAATTATCTGGCAATAGGACTACAACCCAAGAGCAGACACTGCAGTCATTGATTTTAGTACTGTGTCCTACGTCCAGGGTTACCTATGCCCACACTCAAACAAGCCATCGAGACATAAAGTCGCTTCTTTTGATAAATACGTGTTTGGAAATATAACCCAAAAGCTCCATCCGTTTTCAACAACAGAATAACAATCAATGGCAAGATACTGACAAGCAGCATTGTTCCAAAATACACATCAGTTGAAATACATTTACACAGAGACACTTAGTCACGCAGTTTTTGGTACCTATTCTGTAATTCTGGAACGGCAAAACACGAAATAGGGCCGTAAGTATCTTACGGCACTCCGCGATACCTTACGTTGTTTAGTACTTCCGGTGACAAACAATGTTTCATACCTTTTCGAATGGTCTGGTGGTTGTCAGTCGACAGTATAGAACCGATAATCTTTGCATAAATAACAAATTTCCGATCTAACAACCCCCAATTTAGCCAACTATTACGACTGTCATTAACAGTGACAGCCAAGCATAGTTGTACAAAGCCATATTTGGTGGTTGCGCAATTTGAATATACGCGTGTTACCGGAAATCTGGTACCGGAAGTAGCACCTCACCAGACGCACGGGTCCATCATACCAACGGTTCCCTCGCCTTAAGATCCCTAAAAGAGCAAGTGTACATTGCCAGCAAGTTTAGCTCTTGACTTCTGATCTATCTGCGCACATTGCAGTAAGTCATCTCCACAACTTACACGGTTGGGAGCTCCTGCAGTGTTAGTTGGTGAGTACGTTAAGTTTTACACTGCTTTTAGCAATATTCCAGCAATATGACGGCGGGGAAATACCATCATGGGCCTCATATAGTGTGGGGTATCGAACACGCGGCTTCCGCATGACGAGCGAACGCTTTAACCACTAGGCTACCCCACCGCCCCTTCCAGTTTAAGAGTAGAGATAATAGATCAGCTTTGAAATAGAATTCAGGAACGAACACTGTCGCATTCATTTGGTTAATGGCGACAACGCGGCAGTGTCCCTTCTAGGTGTCCATACATGTTGCGAATGCACTAAACTGGGTATATGTGGTGTGGTAGAACTACATGTTCTGTACCGTAGTTTTGTTTTGCATCACAAATCAGATATTTCAACTATAACAACAAATATCATTAGGCATTCTTCGCGGTTTTCTAGTCTCTTCATGCACGGTTTAAAAGAAGAAATCAGGAGCTACCGAGTTTTCTGAAGAAACTACACATTTTCTATAACTTAAGTCGTGGTATGCTGTTCAAATTACACTCAAAAGTGAATGACAAACTTACAAATTCCGATTGACAAATCTTTTTACATTGACTCACAAACTTGCAAATGCAGAATCACAAACCTACGAATAAGGAATCACAGGCCTACACTACTGAATCACAAACTTACCAATACTGAATCACCAACGAACAATACTCAATCACTAACTTTCAAACACTGAATCACAAACTTACACATGCCTAATGACAGTTTTACTAAATACAGAGTTACAAACATTGTTTGTTCCTACTATATATTATATGTAGGATCTGTGTCACATCACATTTGACAGACGAGTTATATAAACACTTATATTCCTTGCCTTGAGCTGCGCAGTATACTCCCTTTCCTGACTGCCTTTAGTGGCTTCTGCACAACATCTTGTGTCATCTTGACATTGCGTTCACCCGGGCATGTATTCCCGAGGTAACCTAACTGCACGTTACGGAATATTCCGTTTCAGTGTTACATAGGTTTGCAACGGGTCCAAGTTTACATATACTCAATGATGACAAGAATCGAGGATCTTGTTGCATTTCACTATCAGAAATATATCAGCAATTCACGTTGCCAAGGACTGGACATGGTGATTGATTTTAATGACAGTGTCCTCGAGTAGGGTTTCAGACAATCAAACATGCCATCGAGAAATTCAATCCCCTCTTGTGATAAACATGTGTTCAACGCTTAACCAAGGGTCTCCACGGGGTAGCAAATATTGTAATAAGCAATTTCAAAGACTGGCGAGACCAAAGCCCTTTTACTGGTAGTGGTTATGGACAACAGATTTTAAAATGTGTGCTGGAGCTTTGTTACAGGGAGTAAACTGGCCTACACAGGGGCTATGAGCAAGTTTAAAATATTCAAGCAATATCACGGCGGGGGACACCAGAAATGTGCTTCACACATTGTACCAATGTAGGGAATCGAACCCGCGTCATGAACGAACGCTTTAACTGCTAGGCTTCCCTTTTCACCTCAAATGGCGATGAAATGAGTCTTTGTAAGGTTTTATAATAGTGAAAGTTAACAGTTCTTCATGAAGTTCTGTGGCTGTGATGTAATAACGTGTCGTACCCTCACTGTGTTGTAATGTCTATTGCTCTGCCGTCTTGTTGTGTCTGTGGCTGTGATGTAATACTGTGTCGTGCCCTCACTGTGTTGTAATATCTATTGCTCTGCCGTCTTGTTGTTTCTGTCGCCGTGCTGTCGTAGCTATATAGTGTTGTAGTGTTGTAGTGTCGTGTCCCGGTGTCGGCCCGGAGTAGGTTAAGTGCAACACCAGTGGCCGTATGCACATGTCGGGCGTAGCTAACGTCAGGCGTAACACACTACGTCGGGCTTAGCAGCGCCCTCCTCTTACACGTCATGAACAACGTCGGTTAAGCCTAGGCGTTACTACGCCCGGCTTAACGGATTTACGTCAAGGCGCAGTGTGCTATTTTTAGATTTTCGAACGTTTTTAAACCACCGGGAAAAGGCGCGAAACAACTTCGGGGTACATCCCTTTCAGCCGTAATCATGCAAAGCCAAAGAAAACCGAGAAAACCAAACTTTACCTATGGATCCTGATGGCGAAATAACATGGACTTTCAAAATGGGCTTCACCATAAATGTCGCCATTTTTTACACATTACGAAATCGCGATTCACAGCGTTATTTGGTGTATGTTTTCAAATGTTCAAATCGGATAATTACTACTCAGAAGTATTGAATTTCAAAAATAGCATATTACTGATCACTGATATCAGGTTTTCATGAAATCACTAATGATAATTCTGAAAATACACTTACACGGACGCCGAAGTGCGCTTTCCGTCATATTGGATAGTGTTTACAAAATCACGTTTCGCGGAGGCGGGTATTGAGACGCCAATTACATCACATGTATATCACATTTACCTGCGACAAATGCTTCACTGAATTCCCCAAACATTTTAGAATCAAATAACAAATGGTCTTTGTCACCAATATCAACTGTCTTGATAAAATGAAACGAAAGATATTGAGTGTCAAAAGTCCAAACGAACGTTGTGCTCGAAAGGCTGCGCTTGTAAAGAAAGAAAAAATCCGATTTTATACTTCGTAGCATTTTCTGACATTTTCCGACATGCAGCCGTCTATTCATTGCTTGCAATGGCTCAATAGCTTTAGAATATGCATGGAAAGAGTATCGTAGCAAGAAATGGGAAACTAAAAACAGAAGCAATGCAATCATTAGATATTTCATAAGAAATTGTCGAAGTGCCCGTGCAGCGTGACGCCATGACTGACGCAGAACGACAAAGGTTTTTATCAGCATTTCTGGCTTCTTCTCTTATTTACAATGAAAACGATAAAACATATAACAATACACATATAGTCAGAATCATTCTGATTACTTACATCTCATATTTATGTACAAACGATCCCTGAATCAAGGGAAGGGTCCTCGCGAAATCCTGTGTACCCTTGTCAGCGTGGCCGACATTTTATTAGAAATCGGTCGGCGGTAGTGATGTCATACGTCAACATTGTTGTACATGTTAGACAATTTCTTTGAGGTGAAGGTCGGTTGAACAAGTGTAAACACAATCGCCCTATCCTTCCGATTACACTTTCAGTATTATGATGTATACTTTGCGTATCGTTCAGATATTTTTTCATCAAACTATTATCAGTATATACATTTAGCCTTGTTCAATACCATATTATACCTGGATATAGGGTAGGCGTTTTTTATTCTTTGAAAGTTTTTGATTGTTTGAATAATATTTACATAAGAAATTGGCACACGTAGCCATAACTGCAAAATATTTGGGTGTTGTGAAATATTATTTTTCATTTACGTTAAATTGATGCCAAACAGGTGCGCGTGTTGCTCACAATAAGATACGCAGTCAAACCGTCTAATTGTTGATATATTCAGGACACTATTTAATTGGTAAAATTATTCATTTTATGTTTGGTCTAAAGAGTGTTAAATTCTGACATAGAAGCCGAGACCTTACATACAATTAATGGAATTTAGGTAAGATATATACTTATCAGCAAACCAATGTCGTCTTTTTCCAACGTCGCAAAATGCATAAAACAGGCCATGACGTCATCTAAAATGTTGTATTATTATCAGTAATTTCAGTTCATTTGAAGATATGGCTAGTACTCCGTTAATAATGATGCAAAATTAGTCAATATACATCTACACAAACTGGAGAATATGGGAATCTAAGAACTAACCTACATATCGGATAGGGCCATCCAAATTGCTATTCTGCTTTCTCAAGTAATACATTGCCATCTTTTCTTATAAATTGTGAAACTACCAAAACGTATCCTCTCACACTGGGGAATTTGTAATGGAATAGGTTGGTTCACCGTGAACACAACATAACGAAAATATAGCGTAAGTATCCACAACAACTTTTCTTCAAGTGATCTGAGTAACATTGACCTATAGTGTTAAGCATAACTCAGTTATGCCCCCTTATCTTTTATACGTGTATGACCTTTCTGTCGTCAGTTGACGTCATAGAAGAAAATCCATTTTTGACACTTATTGGGAGTCATTTTTTATGTTGAGCGTCTAACGTTATGCATTAGCACATAAACCCAATTCATATACACTTATGTCGTTCAGATATCAGGCTGTATTTTCTTCGCTGACACTTTCTGTAAAGATGCCAAATTAAAAAAAATCGGTGCACGACAAAAAGCGGAGAAATTGACAGTTTCTTAACGCGTTACAAAATTTTAGACAACATTTAGCAGTGTCTATTTCTCAAACCGCCGAGGTAGTCGCACTTATATTTATACCAACAGATATGAAATTAATATTCTACATTTCTGTGTAATTTTATATGCAGATCGAGGACCACGCGAGCGCAATTCTCCCACAACGTTCACTTTTAAAAACTTTTGAAAATGTGCGCCTGATAAAAAACTCGGCATCCAGTGCCGCCATTACTAGGCTACGCCTGGCTTACGCCTGCTGGGTAGGTGGCTTAAATATAGAGCGCTACGCCTGGCGTAACTTTAGCTACGTCTAAGATATGCATACCGTTTTAACGTTACGCCCGGGCGCACATCTGACTTACGCCCGGACTAGAATTTACGCCCGACATGTGCATACGGCCACAGATGTTATTAGTTATCAGAAATGTTATCAGTTATCAGAAACGCCGTAAGAGCAATAACGAATAATAACAAATAACATCAACCATTAACATTCATCAACTTTTCCTAGTCAGTTCATCCCGGATATTACAGAGGCATTGATTTATAATCCAGACAAACCACAAACACTTGGCTAATTATGTATGGTCCTATACATCCGATATTTAACTTTAAATTAATATGAATTTCATTATAAGCTTACAAATACCGACTGACAAACATAGATCTTCTGAATCACATTTTATTTTTCCTACTTTATAGCTATTGTGTGCCAAATCACGAAATATACCAACATTTTCCTTCCTATCACTGACGCCTTCATAAAAATCTCCTACCTAAGGCAGCTCTTCACAGTTGGCCTTCCTTACACCGTCAGATAAATCCACTGCGTTGGAACCAACTATCGCATTATAAAAGTCTCTGCTAGTAGGTTGACAATAGGACAATAGTTACTTCATGCCAACCTGGCTCAAATAGCGGGACTTCCATTGTCAGCTTGCATAAACAACCTTAAAACGCTCATCTGTAAAGCGGAACAAAATAATTCATCAAAGTAAGTGAGTATGGTTTTACGCCGCTTTTAGCAATGCCCAAGCAATATCACGGCAGGCAGTTCATCAAAGGGAGAAGTTACATGTTCATTTGTATGCTCAACATGTGCTAGAGTAATATCTTGTGTTAAACAAATAGATTCAAGTAATACAATATGAAAATATGTCCTAATATGAACTACCTAAGGTGTTCACAAAACAGTACCTAGTACATAAAAGCGAAGATGTTCACAAAACAGTACCTAGTAAATAAGCGACAAATCCCTTTCCACATTCTATATAAGAGTTCTCTGCTAAAAACTGAGTCGGTTGCACAATTGTGACTATATCATGAGCATATATTTGTTTCAGCACTATTAGAGTGTAACACATGTACAAATTCAGAACATGGAAATGGGAGACATTGTAACGTAACATTGTAAGTTGTTGTTCACTGATCAGGAGTACGACTGCAACGATTAACCCAGACCTCGATTCGATTCGATTTTAGATATTGGACCCTCGATTCGATCATTTTCTGTTCGATTCTTCATACAAGTAAAACGTTAGATTTTATTTAGCTCTAAGAGTTGGTCTTTTTAGCGTGAAATCCATCGTCAACTTGGCGATATTTACTAACAAAATTTCTCATTGGATAATAATCAACTAATCACGTTTTGCATTATTTCAGCGCTCGAAACTGCTTGAGTTGAAGTCAAATTTACGTTCTGGCTGTGTGGAAATAATTTAAATAGGTATTACAATATCGAATCCAACTAGTGATAATGGTTATCGAAAATCGAAAACTAAGGTGTCAGATTTGATTTTCAATAAATCGAAACGAATCGTTGTAGTCCTAGACACGAGGAGGGCATGAGTTGATGTACCCTCTATGTTTGTTTATGTTCTCTGTGTCAACCTATAGGCCCCGGGGGAACAGTGCACAGCGTATTTATCTTACCGAACACCTCAATGTTAAGTTTGAACTGTTTGAAGGACGGGTACCGGATCATAATAAGGTGTACCAGGGTTAAGCAATTAGCCAATACCGACAATCGCTAGATTTTCAGATGACATAGAATCTAGCAGACGACCAGAAAAATTTAGAGTTACCTCCCTTCCGCCTATATGCTTTCGCTAAACATCAAACTTGACTCAATTATTCGAGATAAAGCATTACTAACACGAAGTACCAAATGAACTCCCATAGTTCGGCATTCCCAGCGGGTAACATAGAAAACGTTTATCGTTTGTAAGCGGGTTACACTGAAAATAATAAAAAAGGGCTTAGCCAATCAGAAAACGTTTCTTATGTGTGAGTAAGATTAGATATATCGTTGAAGCTGTTCAGTAACCGGTGCTAATTAAAAGAGTTACTTATCAATGAAGAATTAATGATCATCAGAAACTTGTGTTTAATAGAATGTTCGGTAAATATATAGACTGCTAATAGTTGTTACTTGTCTGTCTACACTAAGATCAAGTCCTCAGTTGTGATGTCACTTCTCTTGTTTACTCGCATGTTTCGAAGTCAGTATATTCTTCAACTAAGTGGCTTCTCCTGATGCATGACAAAACACCGAGGTCGAGATAAACAGGTCGAAACGCAAAACATATTTTCTAGGTATAAATGACATTGATATACATTGACAGGTTTTGTGATTCAATAGTATTTTCATTTGTTAATAGTATGGTCATTATTATTTCATTCAATCAATCAAGTTTATTTCGTGACAAGGCCTTAGGCCCACGAACAATACAAATGAACATGTGTAATTCTAAGATAGTGGCATTTGACAATCACGTTTATGTGTATAAAGAACGCAATGACAATGCTTCCTTAATGTAAGAAGAACAATTTGTTTGTGTTGAAAACTTTGTACAGGATAATGTGTTTAGAAAGTATTGCTGATCTATGTAATTTGGTAATGCTTTAAAATACTTAAAGCGCAAATCATGATAAATTTTACATTCAAATAGGAAATGAAATTCATTTTCTACAAAATTATCATTACAAATATTACATAGTCTTTGGTGCCTCGGAACTCCATCAAATCTACCGGTATTTTTATATATTGGAAGTGCACCGATTCGAAACATTGTTATTCGACGCCTCGCATCTTTAGATTTCAATAATGTAAAATATGGCTCAATGCAAAATACACTTTTGATACTGGAATAGACATCAAGCGATGACCATTTGTGCATTTCTGAAAATATGAATTGCTTCTGACAATCACCAACTCTTGCATGAAAATCTTTCAAAAATTGTTCCTCGTTGCCAACTCCTTGAGCTTCCCACACAAAACCAAAACCATAATTGAACAAAGTATTTCGGACAAAATATACCCACGTTTTCCTACCAACTTTGTCTAAATTGTGCAACATAATATAGCACTGCTTTGGATTTCTATCCTTTGGTAAGCGTACAAGTTTGAACCAATACTTCATAACACGTAATAAACTATCAACATAAATATAATTTCTACCACATTCCGCCAATTTCATTTGGATTGAAGTGTTAAATATTTCTTTCTAATGACAGGGCCATCCATATTGTTGTGCCATTGCCATCTACAACATTACGGGAGTTCCATGGTGGAGAAAACGCTCTTGTCCTGTGTGTGTGGTTCTCTGTTGACATAAATTTACGTAGTTTACTAAGGGTTTACCCGATGTGCCATACAACTATGTGTGTCAAATCTTCAAGCAGATTGGTGGCGGTCGGGTGGCCAAGTGGTTAAAACGCCGGAAGCCCGGGTTCGATTCCCAAAATGGGTAAAATGTGTGAAGGCAATTCTGTTGTACCCCGCCATGATATTGCTGGAATACTGTTAAACGCGGCGTAAAACCATCAGTAACAGTATCAGTAAGTACTTAAACGGTCATATGATAGTTTCTTGTGTGCATAAATAACAATAACCATGCCTCCTTCAAGTGCTTTATCAATTATTACAGTTAAGCTAATGTTATGAGAGTGTGTTTTTTGTCATTTGTATTATATTTAAGACTTGACTGTGTTCTATTTTGCTGGTTCAAATGGGATTCTTAAACCTTTTGTCACGGCAAATTTATTAACCTTAACACTAATTATAAAACTATGGCTGGCACTAGGGTTATATTTCCCACATTAATTAGCAAGATTCTATGTTTCCTTTACAGTATTAACACATTTCATTTCAATGAATTTTGTAAAAGCTTCTTTGTTTTGAAACGCTGCAAGACTCAGCTCTGCCATGGAGTCCTGAGACTTCGGCAGTCGAACCAGTGTTTGATATAGTAAGCAATGTTTACATCATAAGTGTATGCTGGCACGACATAAGCAAAGGAACCAATTTTGATCACCAAATTCGTTGAAGTCGCCTATTGAAACAAAAGGTAGCAAGATCCCAAAGTCTGTCTGGGAAAGCAAACAGCCTTTTGACACATATAGTGTTCATACAATGTTTTTGTATATACTAAGCAGATGTTGTAGGAACTTAACGTTACTCTTACTGCTTTAAGAGGGAGATAGAGTAAGAGTTATCGTTCTTGTTTCACAGCCTTCATACTACATGATGTAATCTTTTGTGAGGGACTCGAGTATCCAAAGACATGTCCCGGAACTGCCAATATGAATGCTTCGAAAGGCTGAATGAACAGATGCATGACTTGGACTTGAATGTTTGCTAATATTACGAGTTGGCTAGGAATCATGTTCCCGGCCCTTGTCTTATCAAAAACTTTGAATTTGGCAACATAATGCTGTTAGATATGTTCTTGGTAATATCTGAATAAATTACAGTTTACAATCAATATCATAACCGATTTAAGTGCTGAGGAATATTTTTATCGAAGTACTTCAATACTTACGAGCAATTTGATTTGTCGCGCGTAACATTTATCGATAGGGTACGAGTTTCTTGGAGATTACGAAAAGGGCTAGTGGTGACGAATGTCTAGGAATACAAACGTTATTTTATAAACAATGAGATTTGGTGTATACTGAAAACAAGGTGTTGGAGCTTATATGTTACTGCTGTAACACACAGACAGTATAAGAGTTATCATTCTTGTGCTAGAGAGTTCACATATTTCATATGGTTTCTTGTTAAGACAACATTGCACTATGGCTAGGTGAGAGATGCGAACCAGGTAATCAGCATTAGCCACTGAAGCGTGAGCCTTTGTTCAGGGGGTATAGTCTGTATCTACAAAGCAACACTATTTAAGATGTATGCAAGTGTGTGTGTGTGTGTGTGTGTGTGTGTGCGTGTGCGTGCATGTGCGTGTGTGTGTAATATGAAAGCAAAAGAAACAGCATTTTAGATAAAATAATATTTATTAACATGTTAACCTTTTTTGACAGAATCTGGCTTAGTGAGAGGACACCATTTCATACTACTTGATGGAATCTTTTGTGGGGGTAAATAGACTTGTCCCGGAACTGTCAATATGGATTCCTTAGAATAGCCGAATGAACAGGAACATGACTATCGCCATTAGCTTTTCCCGGAATGGTACGAGTTGGTGAGGAATGTAGGTGCATTCGTCAAAACAATACACAGTTTCCATGATTGATGTATTCTGTTTTACTCGCAACCATTTTGTATTTGAAATTGAACACTTTTCTCTTTATCTCCTCGTTCCAAAAAGCAAGCCAAGCAACATTGCACACAACCAAAACAGTCCAATCCACACACGGTTAACCTGAAGGAAAGAAAAACGATTGATGTTTGATTCGTTTACTACATTCATAATGCGTTGCCCAAATCTCCGACACCACTTTTTAGTCCTTTAGTCCTACGGTTTTTCTATATGAAACATCGAATGTTTGTTAACGTTCTGGCTGTTTTGAAAGGTAATGTGTTACGACCCCAAGGGGAATCGTTTGGCGTCTCTTCTTTATGAAGAGTGAGTGAGTGAGTTGCTTTTTGCACCTCTTTCAGCAGTATTCTGGGGTACACAAAGTGTACTCATTTGGAGAATGCAAGTTAGGACCTAATGAAAAACTTGTACGTCTTGAAAAGGATATTCCCATACAAGAACAGAATGCATAGTTTTAAACCAGACGTCGTCTTGTGGGAGGAGTACTGCAAAGCTTTCTTTAGAGGCAAATACTCAAGTAACCAATTCATATCACTTTTATTAACATTTTCCATTGAACAAAGGCATATATTTTGCTAAATAGTAGAGACTGAACACATCTGATGTTGACGTCAAGGCCATTTGGTACAAGACCTTCCTGACCTGGCTACCAGAAGACGAGACTGATATTTTTTTATAATGGTAGGCTTTACCCCTCAACATGTCCTTTTCAACAATAACTTCCAGTATTGGCAAGCAGTAAATAAGTATTTTGTATATGTGACCAGTAGCAAGTTAACATTTTTTTGTCTGAGCAGATCTAAACGTTTTTTAATAGTCGATCTTCTAGTACAATTTACAGAGCCTTGTGGAAGACAAATGAACCTGGTTAAGCAAATACAAACCTGAGCATTTTCTTCTATTCCGTACCGGCACCATGTAGCAAAGTGTTCGCAGTTACTGACGGCTATGTTATATTTAAATTCACGACCTTGTGTGGACAATGCTCTTCTAACTATCTCACGTGGTATAAAGGGTCTGGTAACAACAAAACAACAATATTATCATTTGGGTGAGTGAGTGAGTTAAGATTTAAAGTCACATCGGCAATATTTCAGCCATATCGTGACTAAAACTAATTCTAAATTCATAATGCATACATATTATATATGAAACCCTGCCAACGAACGACAGTAAAATTACTAGGTTATCACAATTAAGGTAACACTAGTTAGCATATATCTTTAAAAGCAGAAATTAAATTTGGACAATACAATATAAAAATGGGCTATTGATCGCCAACAACCGAAGGTAGATCACCATACTAGGAGCCATGGGGACTTACATTACTTTTGCTATCTGCATGGACCCTAGCTGGATTTACACCATCCCTTCAGCCGCTGGCAATTGTAAGAAGATATAGCCGGGAGTTAAAAGAACAAATGTACTACGTTTAAAATATGATAAATTTACATTTTACTTTGAAAGGTTTGGGACTTACGTACCCTCTCAGGAGGACAATAATTTTACAATACTTCAACCCCCTTTGAGGGTACAGCCACTAACAATCTCAGTTACTAATCTAAACTAGCAACAATAAAATATTTAGCTATTTACAGATCAGTCAGCAAATCTAATTCTTTTACAAATTCAACTATTAAATGATAATTAACATTATAGAAAAGATCCTTCAATGTTTTGAAATTGAAATACTTATCCCTTGTAATGGAATATTCAACACATTCAAGCAGGACATGCTTGACCATGATTCTTTCATCACAAGAGATACAAAACGGGGGATCCTCACCTTTTAATAGGTACTCATGAGTATATCGTGTGTGGCCAATACGACATCGTCGTATGATGACCTCTTCAAATCTGGACTGACAACCCAAGTAGGTGTAACCGATAGTTGTTTTTGTTGCATGTAATTTTTTTATACCTACTTGGGTATCCCACTTCTTCTGCATCAGATCACGGATATAAGATCTGATAGCAGCTTTGTAATCAGAGTACGGGATTAGAAGTGGTGTGACAGGTTTGTTGAGTGCTGCCTTGGCAGCAAGATCGGCCATTGTATTCCGAGAAATACCAACGTGGCTGGGTAACCAACAAAAGACAATGACGCATATTGGCCAGTAGCAAGGTCATTATACAATTCAATAATTTGTAATAAAAGTGGATGTTTACATGATAGATTTTTAATAGCCTGAAAACACGAAAAAGAATAGGAAAAGATTATGTATTGTTTATATTTACGGTGTTTATTAATATATTTAAGAGCTGTTAATATGGCGTTAGCTTCTGCTGTGAAAATAGAGCTGTCATTTGGTAGTCGAGAAGATATTGTTCTGGATCCAATGACAGTTGCACATGCCACTGCGCCACCGTCCTTGGACCCATCTGTAAATATGGATTTATATGTATTATATTTACTTTTTTAATTGATTATACTCTTGTTTATATTTTAATTCATTAGTTTCTGATATTTTAAACTTTGTCAGGGCTAGGTCAACCTGTGGCTTAACCAATTGCCAAGGAGGAGAAAAAAGAAGACGAGAAGGAGCTATATTCTCCAGCTCAATGCCGGCAGCAGTAATGAATGGCTTCATTCTGAGCCCCAGTGGCGGAACAAGAGAAGATTTCTGGTTGTACAAATCCTCATAAAGAGGATTAAAGATACAGTGAAATGCAGGATTCGATTCGTTAGAATATAGTTTTGTAAGATATTGAAAATATAATTTTGACGTAGAGACTGTCACCAGGAGAAGTTCTAAAATTTCATGTAAATCATGTAAATCCTTCAAAATGCCATGCTTCCAGGTCGTATCATAAGCTTTCTCAAGATCAAAGAAAATTGATACAGAATGTTGTTTATTTACGATTGCATTTTTAACAAAGGATTCTAAGCGTACCAAATGATCAATGGTACTACGATTTTTCCTGAAACCACATTGAATATTGGTTATAAGGTTATTGGTTTCAAGATACCAAGTTAATCTATTATTCACCATACGTTCCATGGTTTTACAAACACAGATAGTTAGAGAGATCGGTCTGTAATTAGACGGATCAGTATGATCCTTGCCAGGTTTTGGTATTGGGACTACAATGAATGGCATTACGCCATAAAGGAGGAACTTCCCCAGACGTCCATATTTTGTCAAATATATCTAAAAGTGTCATCAGACAGGGTTCCGGTAAGTGTTTCAGTAGCTGGTAATGTATATTGTCATCACCCGCTGCAGTGTCATGGACTTGCTCAAGAGCAGTATGTAGCTCATGTAATGAAAACACTTCATTATAATCTTCACCGTTATTTGATTCGAAATTAAGTTTTGTCTTTTCCTGTTGTTTCTGATATCTCTGAAACTCAGGGACATAATTTGCCGATGATGAATTTTTGGCAAGAGTTTCGCCAATTTTATTTGCAATGTTGAGTTTGTCAGTTATTAAATTGTCACCATCTTTAAGATGATGAACAGCAGATTTGCCTGAAATCGATAATTGAAACTTCGAGGCGAATAGCTTCCAAACTGAGAATACTTGCCATATATGGAATATCTGGAATTTAAACAAATGCTCCCTACATCGAAAACTGTCTCACACGGTGTTGTGAGTGTTTGCCGAACTGGTTTCAATCACAAGTTGTGCGTGGGATATTCGTAAAGAGAGCTCCAAGAGGCATTACTCTGTGGGATTCGCTTGAAATAATGGTGTTCGGTCGGTAGAGGGCGCGAGAGTCGATTCAGTGCAACACTGCATGAATTCATTTGAACTTTTTAATTTAATACTGTAATCTCAATACGTATTTTGGGGGAAATAAATTATATGGTACCTTCCCTGAGGGCTGATAGTTAGTATTTGAGGGAAATACATTATTTAGTTTTAGAGAAGTGTGGTGTGATATAGTAACCATATATCACATTTACTGAGGAACATATACTGTTGGTGCTACTTTACTACTAGGGGTGGGTATTGCAGAGAATTTCATATTGTCATATATTGTAATGCGAAAGCATATATTGCGATATGTATTGCGATATATTGTAAGAAGTATTTTTAAACAAAAAACTACTTATAATCCAGTAAATGCTCGATTTATAAAGCATGAACACAACAAAATCACAATGCTTGATTAAGCTTTATTAGAAACTTTAATATAAATGTAAATAATATTTGGCACAAAAGAAACAAGGACATATCCGAAGACTTCCGAGCGTTACGAAGTTTTCTGAATGCAAGTCAAAACATCGGTTTTCGATCAGCGTATCGCAATACGTATCGTTTTCATGTCTGAACCAGTAAATACCGGTAAACTGGTTATATTGCGCAGCCCTACTTACTACAGTTCACTGAACAGTTTATATTTTTACTGACAATAACCACGTTCACCACGTAAGGGGATGTATTGGATTTGAACATACATCTGTGTCGATACCATTTTCTGTATGAAGACACCAAGAGGATTGTCTGGTCCAGACTTGATAATTTACGAACCGTCGCCATATAGCTGGAATATTGCTGAGTGCGGCGTTAAACAACAAACATCCCGTATTACACACTGTCAGTAAGGATGCCAAAATCAGTATTAAAGTCACTCACAGCCCATTTGCAGCAGTTGTGGTGTTAACATCGTCACTTGCATTTCTCACTGAGATGAACCGATCTTTGTTATACTTCCCACGGCCCCAACACAACTGTTGTAAACATGCCATCATTAGCGGTGTGACATGACGGGGTATATCCCCGTGGTATTGTCAAGCATGGCTATAAATAGACATACCGTGTCCACACCTGAGGATTCCGTGGTAACAATAGTATTTAATCAAACGTCTTAAGAGATGTACGATACAAACTCATCAACATTTAAGGTGGTGATTTATTCTAATGCCATACTCCTAACATACTACTGCTATTATTATAATTATTATTATTATTATCACAACTACCACTACTACTACCACTACTATCACTACTACTACTACTATAACAACCAATAGTACTAATACCACTATCACTACTACTGCTACTACTACTACTACTACTACTACTACTACTATAACAACCACTAGTACTAATACCACTATCACTACTACTGCTACTACTACTGCTACTACTACTACTATAACAACCACTAGTACTAATACCACTATCACTACTACTGCTACTACTACTACTTCTACTTCTACTGCTACTATAACAACCACTTGTGCTAATACCACTATCACTACTACTGCTACTACTACTATAAGAACCACTAGTACTAATACCACTATCACTACTATTGTTACTACTTCTACTTCTACTACTACTATAACAACCACTTGTGCTAATACCACTATCACTACTACTGTTACTACTACTATAACAACCACTAGTACTAATACCACTATCACTACTACTGCTACTACTACTATAAGAACCACTAGTACTAATACCACTATCACTACTATTGTTACTACTTCTACTTCTACTGCTACTATAACAACCACTTGTGCTAATACCACTATCACTACTACTGCTACTACTACTATAAGAACCACTAGTACTAATACCACTATCACTACTATTGTTACTACTTCTACTTCTACTGCTACTATAACAACCACTTGTGCTAATACCACTATCACTACTACTACTACTACTACTATAACAACCACTAGTACTAATACCACTATCACTACTACTGCTACTACTACTACTACTGCTACTACTACTACTATAACAACCACTAGTACTAATACCACTATCACTACTTCTACTACTACTACTACTACTACTACTATAACAACCACTAGTACTAATACCACTATCACTACTACTGCTACTACTACTACTACTACTGCTACTACTACTATAACAACCACTAGTACTAATACCACTATCACTACTACTGCTACTACTACTACTTCTACTTCTACTACTACTATAACAACCACTTGTGCTAATACCACTATCACTACTACTGCTACTACTACTATAAGAACCACTTGTGCTAATACCACTATCACTACTACTGCTACTACTACTATAAGAACCACTAGTACTAATACCACTATCACTACTACTGTTACTACATCTACTTCTACTACTACTATAACAGCCACTGGTACTAATACCACTATCACTACTACTGCTACTACTACTACTACTACTACTACTATTACAACCACTATTACTAATACCACTATCACTACTACTGTTACTACTACTACTACTTCTACTACTACTATAACAGCCACTGGTACTAATACCACTATCACTACTACTGCTACTACTACTACTACTACTACTACTATAACAACCACTATTACTAATACCACTATCACTACTACTGCTACTACTACTACTACTACTACTACTATAACAACCACTATTACTAATACCACTATCACTACTACTGTTACTACTACTACTTCTACTACTACTATAACAACCACTAGTACTAATACCACTATCACTACTACTGCTACTACTACATCTACTTCTACTACTACTATAACAATCACTAGTACTAATACCACTATCACTACTACTGCTAATACTACTACTTCTACTACTACTATAACAACCACTAGTACGAATACCACTATCACTACTAATGCTACTACTACTACTTCTACTACTACTACTATAACAACCACTAGTACTAATACCACTATCACTACTACTGCTACTACTACTAGTACTACTACTACTATAACAACCACTAGTACTAATACCACTATCACTACTACTGCTATCGCTACTACTACTACTTCTACTACTACTATAACAACAACTAGTACTAATACCACTATCACTACTACTTTTACTATCACTACTTCTACCATGACTACTACTATTAACACGGACTACTTCTACCACTACTTATTCCAACTAGGGTCCATGCAGGTATCTAAAGCATTTTAAGTCCCCATGGTCCCTAGTATGGTGATCTACCTTCAGTTGTTGGCGACCTATACCCTGTTTTTAAATTGTATTGTCTTCGTAAATAAAATAGTTTTTAGATTTACAAGTTAGTTTTAGACACCTGTGATACTCTAGTTATTTCTACAGTCCTTCGATGACTGATTATTTAACAACTTATATCTGTTGTGTATGCATAGCTTTTCTCGTCACTATACGACTGAGATATTGTCGAGTTGACGTTCAATTATAACTCACTCACTCACCACTGCCCAAGACCAGTTACTTCCCACTCGCAATCGCCTAAATGTGATTTTAAAAGAAAATATTTGCATTAAATGTCGATTGTGCAATGAATTTACAGAGACTGTACACCTTGTCAGTGGATGCCCTTCTTTGGCACAAACAGCATATCTTAAACGACATGACGGCATGGCTTCTTGCTTACTACCGTCTCTGGAATGCCTTTGGCTTTGACACCGAGGTCCGTCCATGGTACGACGCTGAACATGTCCAGGACATCATGTAAAATGATGCCATCAAACTTCTGTGGAATAGGCCCATATACAGTCTCAGAAGAATTCCAGCCAGCAAACCAGATCTTGTGCTTTTTGATAATGCCAATGAAATTATTTATATCATTGAATTTTCTGCCCCTTTTGACAGCAACGTGATTGGCAAGATTCAGGACGCTAAATATGCGGACCTCGCCTTTGAAATGTCTCGCTTCCATCCCAAGTACACTATCCTCAGACTTCCCATTGTTCTCGGTGCCCTTGGTTTGGTACCTCCTGATCTCTTGGCGCAGATCAGGAGAGAGCCCGGGTTCGTGACCGGGAGCACAGCCCTTCTGACACTCTGGCTAATGCAGAAGGCTGCAGTGTTAGGGAGTACATATTCTCCGGAAAATTCTTGGTGGGTTCGACTAGGCAACGTTTCCTGGGAGAAGTCCCATTCGCTGTCTGGGCTACCGTGCGCTAGCCTGGCTGTGCCAGGATCACCCGGACCCTCTCTGCTGCATTTTCATCTTAATTTGTAAAACATAATAATAGGGATATTTATAAGGCGCCAGTGTCCACCCACGAATACATGCTTATTTCTTCCTACAGTATGATACACAATATATACCATAACATGTTATTAATCTATGTCAAATCACATTTGACAGACGAGTTACACAAACACTTACATTCCTTGCCTTGAGCTGCGCAGTATACTCCCTTTCCTGACTGCCTTTAGTGGCTTCTGCACAACATCTTGTGTCATCTTGACATTGTGTTCACCCAGGCATGTATTCCCAAGGAATCCTAACTGCCCGTAACGTAATATTCCTTTTCAGTGTTACATAGGTTTGCAACGGGTCCAAGTTTACATATACTCAATGATGACAAGAAACGAACATCTTGTTGCATTTCACAATCAGAAATATTTCAGCAATTCACGTTGATTTTAATCGCAGTGTCCTCGTGTAGGGTTTCACGCAATCAAACCCGCCACCGAGATATTCAATCCCCTCTTGTGATAAACATGTGTTCGACGCCTAATCCCGGGTCTCCACGGGGTCTTAGCAATATTGTAATAAGCAATTTCAATGACTGGCGAGACCAAAGCCATTTTACTGGTAGTGGTTATGGACAACAGATTTTAAAATGTGTGCTGGAGCATTGTTACAGGGAGTAAACTGGCCTACACAGGGGCTATGAGCAAGTTTAAAAATATTCAAGCAATATCACGGCAGGGGACACCAGAAATGTCCTTCACACATTGTACCCATGTGTGAAATCGAACCCGGGTCTTCGGCGCCATGAACGAACGCTTTAACTGTTAGGCTTCCCTTTTCGCCTCAGACGGCGATGAAATGAGTCTTTGTAAGGTTTGACAATAGTAAAAGTTAACAGTTCTTCGTGAAGTTCTCTGACTGTGATGTAATAACGTGTCGTACCGTCACTGTGTTGTAATGTATATTACTTTGCCGTATTGTTATGACTGTCTCCGTGCTGTTGTAGTGTTGTAGTGTCGTGTCCCGCTGTCGCCCCGGAGTTAGTTAAGTACAGTGCAACACCAAATGTTATTTATCAGTTATCAGAAACGCCGCAAGGACAATACCTGATAATAACAAATAACATCAACGATTAACATTCATCAACTTTTCCTAAGGAACTGCTTTTAGGTTGTTACTCTGTATCAATACAAATTACACAACTGCAAACAGCATATGTCGAAATAACCCACATCGGCCTAGCTGGGCGTTCAGTGGGATTCTTAATAGGATGTCCAGAAAAGCATGTTTACTCGTAAATTCGAGTTAAACTTTGAAAAAATACGAATAGCTGCTGAAAACAATAGATCAGACAATAAATGGCAATTAGGTCGCTCAGGCAGGAATGACGACGGACCGTCGACTCATCTGGCATGAAATGCATGTGCTGCCTACAGGGGGGCCATCTCAAAGTCAGATATTTATGCTTTTTCGTGTGGGTTGAAAATGTCTCATCTATTGCGTGTCTATATTTCATAACGTTTATGTGAAAGAGTATGATACCCATAGAAAGGCTTAAATCAGCAATCGTATTTAATGTCTCAAAATATATAGGTGGCATCACCACCCAGGATTGACATTACTGGATAATATTTGTAAATTGTTATGACATGCTGTTTACTTCTCCAGCTTAATTCCCCTAAAGGAATATCTTATCTTAGCTGATATCTCTATCCCCCAGCTCAACCTCAACCACCGTCTGCGACATCCCTCCTGGTTTGGATTGTAAGACGACCCCTCCTACCTGTTTCTATTTATAGTGATAGTGTGACTCCATTGTAGCTACATCCGTAATAGTTTCAGCATTAAAGTTATCATTTATTACGCCAGCTATCGTTCATAATGAAGCTAAGTCCT